GGAGGAGGGTGTGGAGGAGTTCTATTGCTCTGCACTGCATTGAACTCCATCAGCAGGCTCTTTGCAGGCAACATGCTTGAAGTTTGACAAGTGAGTCTGTCGTTGTGGAAATGCATCGACCATATCAGATCCAGGCGCTTAAGGCACCGCAGTTCCGCTTTTTTGGAGGAATTGAGTATAGCATGTAATAATGAGGATGTGCTTACTTCACAGAGGTCGTGTGCTTCGCAGGGGAAACGTTCCTGAGAGGTTTTTTGAGTTAGAACTAACTGAAAGTTATTCATGCTGGAGAAGGGTGGATGGCTGTTCCGCGCTTGAGTGATCCCAAATGGCTCATGCTTGCTTTTCTTGTTTGACATCCCACGCGCAGCGAGCTGAATGCTCTGAATAAGAAGTTGCAGGGCCAGGCCAGCTTGTTGTGCAGCATATGCATGCAGAGCATTCTCTACAAACTGATGTATGGAAGCCAGGCCCCTCAAACCTCTGCCATTCCTCTGCAAGCTCTCATGGACAGGGGCACAGCTTCAGTGGTGAGAGTGGCGAAGTATTATGTGATTGCCCATTGGAAGTACAGGAGATTCGATCAGCGTTTGCAGACTTCACGACACACAGAGTCACTTCCAAATGTTGCAGACCCCTTCTCTTTGATGTGAAATGCCCTGGTTGTACTTCAAATGGGAGGGGGTCATCGACCTGCAGGCAATTCTGAGCTCAAAGCCAAGTTCAGGGAAGGTGAATGGGAAGCAGACAAGCGTTGGACAGTTCATGAGATAATGCCCCCCTCCCTTCCCCTGGATTCCAGGATGTTCAAGCGGACCATGGCCTTTTTGGGAGCCATATATTGCTGAACAGCTATTCTCCACCATGAACTTCAATAAGTCATAGTACAGGTCCAGACTTATGCTGCACATCTTCAAGCCATAGCGAGGGTTTCACTGCTTCCTCCCTCGAACAAAGTGGCTCAGCTGTTGTGCGAGGGAAGCGCTGCCAGGTCTCTACAGAAGGCGAGTTAGCAAAGGAACGAGCAAACTGTAATAGTTATGTTGTGAAACGTTCATGTAAGAAGATGTTGAAGAACTGTTAATGTTGTATTTTTTAATAAATGTTTTGCGGAATACTTGAAGCGGCCCAGACTTGCCCAGACTCTACGTCCAGCGGCCCCCAGGTAAATTGAGTCTGAGACCCCTGATCTAGGATGACACCAAAAGCCTCCCAGACGTTGGATTTCGCTCTTTAGGAAGAGTTATTGAAAATGCTGTATTCTCCGCTATAGAGAGCTTCACCAGCCATTCAGAATGTGGTGCGCTCAGCAGCAGATAGATGCACTGCAGAGGTTATGATTATGCTCGGTCCCGCGGAGGAGAGGTCTGAGGATTTAAACATTCAACTAAATTATTATTGTTTAAATATATTTATTATGCAACACCCGCAACCGGACCCGCATCATCTTTGTTTTACCCAGAAGCGAACCCGGAAAAAAGCGTTTGAAAAAATACCACCCGCAAATCACCTTTTTTGCGGGTCACCCGTCGGGTACCCGCGGATACCCGACCCGATGCAGGACTCTGCTATCTGGTCAGTAGGTTGCAAACTGTCTATTTGTTCCATCACCTGCCAGATCTCTCTGCAGCATACACATTCATCTGCAGTGGGCATGCTTTCACAGCATTGACATGTACACCTGAATATTGTACATAACATAAAAAAAAAACAATATCTGCCGGACGTGTGAGGAACAGATGACAAATTAAGATCGACATTCAGTGCAGGTCAAATTAAATAAAACAGAATTTACCATTCAGTATTGCCGACTCGAGTCTCGCCGGCTGCGGAATCCGCTTCTCTTTCACAAGTTTCTGCCTCGTTGTTCGATTGCCGGGCAGGAGGCTCGTACTGATAAGGCAAGATGCCTTGAAGTGAAAGGCTAGCTGGTTCACTCTCTACTTCTGTAACTGAATCCAGATAACCCACCGAATCTGAGCTTGAATGATCGCTGTCGCTGTCTGAAGTTGTCGCGTTGCTTGCCATTTGGACTGATGGCAATATTTGCCACGTGTGACGTCACCGCTCGTTCGGGAGTGATCGGGGGCGTACTCGGCAAACTTCGGAACCAACATCGGTTTTTAACGTATATGTCATTTAATTATGACCAAACTTTAAACATTTGTATTTATTTTTATTCTGGTGATATCTAAACTATATGTTAAAAAACAACTGTGTTAGATGCATTACATGGCCTTTAAACACAAAATTGACCCTTGGAGAGATAAGCTTCATCTATCCATTCCCGTCTCCCACATGTTTGATGAACTTGGGTACAACAATGTTCTGTATTTTCAAACTAAATTAATTGTATGAGGGAGATTTTTCATTGTTTACTCATGTTTAACCATTTTTAATTGTATATCAAACCTTTCTTTTCAATCCACATAGGTCTTCGTTCCTCAGCCTTGCTCGCCCTGCTGTCGCCCAATGAATCGTCTTCTGACAGTGAGCTGTGTCCTGTCTCTCCGGAGTCCTCTCAGGAGCTCAGCAAAGCCACTGACACCTCCTCTGTCCCCGGCAACACTGCAGCCATCTGCTCCCTAACATCTCCCAGGGACACAGTAAGGAACATAACTGACGTGATAGGATACACTTAATAATCTCTGTTAGGGGAGTGGATCAATAAAGTTTAAGGAAGAAGAAAGACATTGGGAAGCAGATCACCTTACTAGATTCACAAACATGGCAGTATATGCGCTACAAATATACCTCTACCTATTTTTGTAAATCAGCTAAAGTTTATATAGGTAAAACTGTATGCAGTATTCTAACTTTTGAAGAGTTTGAGCCGTCTACCTACCGAATTGTTGTTCTGCTCTTACCCCCAGATCAAGCCATCAGGGAAGGAGAATAAAACAAAGGAGTTGGGCTCTCCTCCCCCTGTTCCTTCAGAGATGTTGTCCCCACCAGGCACTGCAGAAGGGGAGAAAAGGAAGCTGGTTACCCAAGACACGCTGGACTCCCCCAGCCTCAGTCAGACCCCCTCTGTGTCCAGCGAGGACCCCCTCTCTCCTGTGTTGCATGGTAAATACTGAGAATACCTCTACCAGACTCTGATGGTGGTCATTAGTGCTTATCCCTTGGCTGTCAGGATCAGAATTGTTGGTTATATTTGTGTGTTTCTTTCTACCATTCTAAGCTTCAGAGCCTGATTCAGGAACAGTCACTTCTCCAGCAGCTGAAGTTGTCAAAGGGACTGAGAGGCTTCCCCCAGTTCTCCTTCAGGAGCATGTGTTTTCAGAGTGCTCCAGAGAGAGGATCCTGGGACTACTATCAGCCATGCTGCCCCCTGCCATACCAGTACGTGAAACCTAAGACAGGTTTTTATGGTTTTATGAAACGCTTAAGAGATAGTGCTGAGAGTTGGCTGTCAGAATGAATACTTCCCTTATCTGTGTGTAAAATATGAAGCTACAGATAACAGCAAATGAGTATTAATGTAGTTACTAAAGTTAGGTAACAACATCTGCCTATCAGCGCCTCTAAAGCTCGCTAATTAACACGTTATCTTTCATTTTATTGCTCCATGCACATTTTTCTTTACAAGGAGTATGTGCTGAACTCTAGTTCTTCTTGGGCAGGTGTTGTAAATTCCTTCAGCTTTGTCCTCACCTTGAAGTTTCCAGGCAACCATTGAGGCTCCAGGAGGTCAAAGATTTAGCCCAGAAAGTCACACACTATAATTAATCCCCCCAAAAAATGTTTGTCAACACTTAGGTTATAAAATGTAATTATTTCAAACTCAGCATTCATTCTTTTCTAAATGTTCACTATTTGTCAGCATTGTCTTTATGTTTTCCTACTTTTTAACATTTACATCTTCTTTTTTCTATCCCCAGGGCAGCACCCTGTCTCTGCCCAGTCTGAACTCCATCCTGCCCAAGCTCTTCAGGGCGGTCATTTCCAATGCTGGCTCTCTGAACGAGACGTACCACCTCACCCTGGGGCTGCTGGGTCAACTGCTGCTCCGAATCCCTCCGATGGAGTCCGACTCTGCCGTTACTGAGGCTCTGGCTGACAAATATGACTTGTTAACACAAGCAGAGGCAACCAGTTCAGACATCCAGGGCTGGAAGACCACCCAGCTGCTGTTCAGCCTCGGAGCCGTCTGTTTAGACAGGTAAAAGAAGTAAAACCTGTTAATCCCACAGGAATGTTTTGTAGCTTGTAAAATCAATTTATTTGCAGGTATTAAACTAACAACAAGTCTGCACTTGTTAGCACCTTCATGGATCAAGCAATGTGAGATATTTTTAATACCATAAAGCAGGGCTCGACATTATAAATGGCCCGCTGGCCCGGAAGCACTATTTAGACACCCCGGGCCAGCATATAGTACTTTCCACTTGCCCGCTCGGGCCACTAAAAATATTGCTTTAAACATTTTTTTGTTAAATTGTTTCGTTTATCAACGCTACAACATAGCGTTTCGTGAGTCGGTTGTCCTTGTTGGCTGAAAAGCAAACGGCTGTTTGCTGCGGAGCACAGCGCGAGCAGGCTCCCGTGAGCGGGAGCGCAGCGCGATTAGGCTCCCGTGAGCGGGAGCGCGCTCCTTCACTACAATTCAATTCAAAACCTTTATTTATTCAGGTGAAAACCCATTGAGATCATTGACCTCTTTTTCAATGGTGACCTGCTGCAAGTAGGTTCCAACATGAATACAAACATGACAGAAAAACAAAGAGGACATCATATGGCATATTTACATTGACTACAGTTTGTATAGCTAGTAGCATTTACCGATTGGATAGCATCTAACCTTGCTTTAAAAACATGTAATGGAACCAAACTGCTCAACTTCCATTCCTTTTGCAGACTGTTCCAAATTAGCGGAGCGGACTACAGACTATCGCGCCACCTAACCATTCGCCAAAATGTTTTTAATACCAGCGGTAACCGGCCAAGCGCCGGGAAAAAAACAATCTTCAAATAAAGAAAGTCACCGGAGGAGTTAAAGGAGAGTGACAGGGAGCATGAGAAGAAGAGGGAGAGAAAGTTTCAGCCAGTTTGATCGATGGAGTTGTTTTCTAGTGGTGCAGTGACGCGTCCTAAAACCCTTTTATAATCTATCGATTAGATTTATGATTCGAAAATTATAAAAGTAGGGTAGACATGTGGATATTATCCGGCTGAACAAAGTGCATTTATCAAACAGGTTTGTTTTCCACAGACCTTATTTCCAGCTATTTTCCAAAACCCTGTGGAGAAATCCCATTACTTTTTTGTCGAGGGAACCAGCAGCTTACTTCCTGGTTTTAGGACGCGTCACTGGCTGCACCAGTCAATATGATGCCAATATAAACTTCTGTCGGCTCTGTACATCAATGCCGACCTATGCTGACAAGTAAGTGAAGAGTAGACAATATAAAGGTATTGGCTTAGGGAAATGTCCCAGCAGTTTAAGATAATTAAGGTTCTAATCAAATCAATTACATAGCCATTACATTTCTAACTCCTAATGACAGGAAGGCAGAAAGTGCATTATACAAATAATAATACTCATAATAATAGCAGACATTTTTTAACAATGTCCACAATATCATTATTTTAATAAACCAAATATAAACAATTGAGGAAAATGAGGAAGAACTGATGATTCAAATGTTGTAGTACAAGTAGTGTAGTTTGTGCATAAATTACTATTGCAACACATTTTCTTCATTATTAGTCGATTTATTTTGGACGAATGCTCCGGGCCAGTGGTTACAATGGTGGGGCCAGTGATAATACAATTCCACCGGCCCGGAGGGCATTTTACCCTTAATGTCTACCCCTGCCATGAAGCAAAGAACATGATTTCACATGCTGTTATTATCCATGTTGGATCCTAATATTTTAACATTGCCAATAAGTCAGACAGGACTTAGAAATCAGATTTTTGTATAATCCTGGCAATAGTACAGAAGCCCTGAGAGTCAAGTGAGAGACAAACATTATTCTGATCCATTGTTTAAGTCCAAGTCCAAACTATTGTCTCTACTTTGCTTAAGGACAGGTGAGAAACAAGGTTTTGCCAGGATAATCTTTTCTAGTTTTTCATTTTTTTTGTTTATGTTTAGGACATAGGAATATACGCATTCATGTTTTCTTCCCGATAAGCTTTTTTTCTCCCTGCACTCTTAAAACAAGGTAATTAGTATGATATATTACATTGCTTCCATGTCCAGAGACTGTAAAACATGCTTTAAGTCTATTTAGAACATCGAGTAATGGCGCTTTTCAGTCTTGTGGCAGAAATTAGTATAACAACAACAACAGTTAGAAAAATGTTCCTAAATAAAAGGAAAATACAAATCCATAACTTTTTTTCCACTCTGTTTAGACTAAGAAAATGGAAATGAGAATTGTGTTTCTTACTTGCCTCTGAGGACATCCATCTTCACTAATCTTTGTTATAATAACCCTACTAAAATATTCAACAAATCTGCAAAATCAGATGCAGAACTGAGAAACTGAAGGATTACCAAAATCACACACTTTGAGATTTTATTTTGCAAAATGTCTGTGAAATATATGCCGCCAGCATCTGTTGCAGTTCATTTGAGATATCTCTCTTCTTATGCTCTGTTTTGCAGTCGTATTGGTCTGGATTGGGCGTGCACAGTGGCAGATATCTTACACAGTCTGAATGCGTGTCCTGAGTGGAGCACAGTCATCGCTGCCTTCACGGACCACTGTATTCAGCTGCTGCCACAAACTCTCAAACGCACCAACCTGTTCACTCTGCTGGTGCTGGTGGGCTTCCCTGAGGTGTGTACAATACTGACCACTGTAGCGATTAGTGTACAGTGTCGTCTCTGACTCTATAAGCTCAGTTTGAACTCCTCTGTGTGTCTGCCAGGTGCTGTGTGTGGGCACCCAAACAGTGTTCATCGACAACGCCAATGAACAGCACAACATGATCCTGCTCAAACACTTCACAGAGAAGAACCACGCTGCAGTGGTGGATGTTAAGACAAGAAAGAGGAAAACAGGTTGGTGCCGTTGTAGCGCACCCTGGTTACTTTGTGTGAGAATAAACATGGAATTTACCCTCTGTGTTCTTTTCTTTCTAGTGAAGGACTACCAACTGATCCAGTCTCTGGACTCCACTGCAGCCGGTCTCCCCGGGCAGTCAGAGGGCGACGGCAGCTCTAAGACCCTGCTCAGCCGGTACCTGAGGAACTTCACCTCCATCATCAGCCACTTGCTGCAGGCCAGCCAGGACAACGGCTCTCCTGATGCCGTGGAGGCATCCTGGGTTCTCTCCTTGGCCCTCAAAGGCCTCTACAACACACTGAAGGTACCTACCACCTCAGAATTTGAAAAGCAAAACAAAAATGTATGCGTATAACAAGTTTATTAAAATAATGTTTACAAAGTGCTCTAGATACAATAAAAGCCAAAACCAGCAACATAAATCGTTATGTTAGATATATACTGTATATATGAGTAGATACAACTACACACACTCACCAGCAAACAAAGAACGGATTAAAACTTTTTTTTTAAAGAGCGTGATTCCCAGAAGAAACCTATTCAAACGGAACATATTTAGGCTTTTTAAAAAGAGGAAACTGATATTGCATTCTCAATTACCTCAGACAATTTGTTCCAAATTAAAGGTGAAAGCACTGGTGCCTTTTAGTTTTGAGCCTGGCACGTGGAACCACGAAAAATGTTGCGAACCAGCCCATAAAAAGTAAAAGGATCAGCAGATTAGCTTGGGCTTAAAAAACAGTAACATATTATAATCTATTCTGAATCTCGCTGGTAGTCAGTGCAGATATTCAAAGACTGGGGTAATATGGTCTCTTATTTTATCGCTGGCTGCAGCATTTTGAACAAACTGGAGACATATCATTGATTTCTGACCGAGACAAGTATAGACACAGTTGAAATAGTCTTGATGAGCTTATTTTAAATCCGTATGACATAAGATTGACTCAAATTCAGGACTGCACAACTCTCTTAAACTGTCTCAGGTCAGTGTTAAAAGTCTCCAGAACAACATCTGAGTGGTTGTGTAGGCTAGGAGCAACTGGCTTAGATGATGTTTTTTATTTCTTCTCTTGTGTAGAAACATGGAGTAGAGCACGCTCAGGAGGACATCCAGGAGTCAGGCCTCACGCAGCTGCTGGTGAGGAAGTGCAGCAAAGGGACCGGCTTCACCAAGCTGTGGTTGCTGCGAGACCTGGAGATCCTCTCCATCATGCTCTACTCCTCCAAGAGGGAGATCCACTCCATGGCCCAGGACCCAGAGCGGGACCAAAGAGAGCAGGACAAAGAGCACGACTCGGACCACTCCAGCTGCTGTGCCGACGAGACCGACGTCAGCAACAAGCCCGACCCCTTAGAGGGGCTCGATGAGGAGACAAAGATTTGCTTCCAGGTGATAAGGGATACTATAAGAGATGTCCATAAGTGCAAACTACTCATTCATTTCAGTCCGCTAGATTATTATTTAAATGTTTTATTTGTAGTTAAATCATTTTGACTGAAGTTACAATTTACTATTAATGTACAGTTTAAGAACACTGCTTCAAAACAATGCAATACAATAGAAACGTCCCTAATGGTCTCTTTCAGTCCCATTACATTACATGTGTTTGACACATTTATCCAAAGGGACATTCCAACGGGAGCCATGTATCATACGCAAGGACACTTAAACATGTTGACTGCTGGGGCTGATTGTAGAATCACTGCCCCTCCCATTAGAACATTGCTATTTATATCTGCACAGTGCAGTAAAAAGCTAAATGAAAATCTAATTTACTTGTTTATTTATCTAGAAACCTTACAGTGATTTTCTTCTTTTTCACACAGATCACACACGATGCCTTAAACGCCCCTCTCCCCATCCTGCGAGCCATGTATGAGCTGCAGATGAAGAGAACCGATTCCTTTTTCCTGGAGGTGCAGAAGAGGTCAGCCGACAGATTGTTTTTTTATTGACTTTTCTTTTAATATGATGTTGCGTGGTAAAGGTCATACTTCACAATCTGATACTACCTCTCTGTTATGTGTTGTGCCTTTGTGTTATTATCAGATTTGACGGAGAAGAGATAAAAACAGATGAAACAATCCGGACGCTGGCTCAGAAGTGGCAGCCTGGCAGGCGGCCTCGCTCCGAGGAGAGGAACACCAAGGCTGTGGACACTGACATGATTGTGGTGTCATGCGTGGTGAGTTGTTGATGTGCCCTCAAAAAGCATACAGTAGTTTGTGACTGGCTAACAACATGAAACATGGGCTTTAAGGTACTTATCTGCTGTAAGTGTAATACCTACTGTACAGTTCATAATGGTTGTTACTCTCCCAGTTTGGAGAAACAGACAGGGGTGATGGCACAGAAGCTACGCAATATACTAAAGGCGATGGGGGCAGCAGCATATCTAGCCACTTTAAAATAATAAATATCAGTTCAAGTGTACTCCACATTTTAGAATATTTTCATAGCATTAACACATTATTTACCGATGTGTAACTGACGCTGTTATCTATGCTCTCTTGAAAGCAACCAGACTCCATTAACAAAAACTGCAATTATACCTCTCAGAACAAGGGTGTTGCTGGTTTACCAATTCTTTCAGAGTTTCAAAGGGTTAGTTCTAAATCTCTAAATGTATAAAATAACACACTAACTAATCAAGGTCAGCAGTAGACCAGCAACTCTTCATTTTACAAGGTAAATTACTCTTTTAGTAAATGGAGTCTGATGGATAGAGAGATCGTAGATAACTGATCAGTTCTCCATCAGAACAGTATGTCTAATTATAGCATACATTTAACTGATATATATATGTTTTTGGTGACACTTTGTTTAGGTGGCTATAATCATTTGCTGACATCTACTATAGGAAATAAACTGACTATGGATAAGAACTCATACAACTCCAAAACAATCGAAACTACAAACTCTTAAGCCTTACAAACTACAACGAGAAGAGAAGAGAAACTCTGAGGAAAGGTGTTTTTATTACATTTTCCATATGTCAATATTCTAATATCTCCCCATCATTGTCTTCCCACCCACAGTCCAAACCCAGCCACTGTGAAAAGGCCATAGAGGAGATCAACGTTGTGGCCCAGAAGCTCATCACAAATTCTGAGAACGACCTGCAGCTCAGCTACGCCAAACAGCGGCGCACCAAAAGTTCAGCTCTCCTGCACAAGGAGCTGGACGTCCGCAGCAATCGAGCAGTTCGTCAATACCTGGTGAAGGTCAACCAGGCCATCGCCACGCTATACGCCCGCCACGTGCTGGCCTCGCTGCTGGCCGACTGGCCCGCCGACGCAGCACTGAGCGAGGAGGCCCTGGAGCTGAACGGCGCCTCGCACATGGCCTACATCCTGGACATGTTGATGCAGCTGGAGGAGAGGCCGCTCTGGGAGAAGGTGGGGCATAAAGGAGAACAATTAGGAGATTATGTTGTGTTTTTAACATTTGATTCGTTGTAGGTGCTCTGTGGATTAATGTGAGTGTGATTATCCATTCATAATCAGATTCTCCAGAGGGTGCTGAAGGGTTGCAGCCAGAGTATGCTGTGCAGTCTGTCCCTCACTGCCTGCCAGTTCATGGAGGAGCCAGGCATGGCTGTGCAGATCAGAGAGTCCAAACACCCATACGACAACAACACCAACTTTGAGGTGGGTAACATTCCTTTTTGTTACAATTTAGAGTCAGGATCAAAAATTCTGTAATTTATCCCACAGCAGGGAAATGTACGATATTACGGCAAAGGAAGGAGACGGAGTAACATATTAAATATAGAAGCAAGCATATCACCAGAAAAAATACAAATAAATGCACACTCATGGTAACAGAAACAAGTAGCAGCATTATAGAAAGTGAACATATAAAAGTAATGAGGCAGCAGTAAGTGGCAAACAGCAATTTTGTATAAAAAGGGTATATTGCACACATCACAGTCACCTCTCAACAGTGGTGTTACAGTCTGAGTATTGAAGTAGCAGCCAGAAAAAAATGAGTAAATGTACATGACAAATTGCACATAGTAGTTTTATTTCGTAACAGTGATGTTATCGTCCCTATCTGTGGGTATTGGTGGTCTACCAGGGAGGTGTATCATCAATTACAGCCATAACTGTTTTAAAAAAGCTTTAATATTTCCAACGTTGAGCTGGTCACAACATGTATAATGGCTGACTAAAGAAGAACTTGCAAAATAATCGATGTATTAGTACAGGTCTTTATTTGAAACGGGGCATTTCTTTCTTTTAATTCAGTTTCTTGTCTCTCTTTAGGACAAGGTGCACATCCCAGGAGCCATCTACCTGTCAGTGAAGTTTGACTCCCGCTGCTACACAGAGGAAGGCTGTGATGAGCTCCTCATGTCCAGCAGCAGTGATTTCCTCCAGGACGTCCACAACTTCAGTGGCTCCCCTCAGAAATGGTTGGACTTTGAGATTCCTGGTGAGAAATATTTAAATGTTCCTTTTCTGATTTATGGGTTCCCATTTTTAGATATGTTGACTAATGTGTTTAAACCCCGTCTGTGTGTTTTTCTTCTCAGGTGATACCCTGTACTACAGGTTTATGTCGGACATGAGCAACACAGAGTGGGGCTACAAGTTCACCGTTACAGGAGGGCACAGAGGACGTTTCCAGACAGGTGCTTCAATTCAAGATACACACTCCTTTTTCATTTTAGCAAACCTGCTTTCATTTGTTGACTCCTCAAAGTACCCAAATAAATCCTCAGGTCATTAACCTCTCTGCCCTTTCGCTTGTGGTCTCATCAGGTTTTGAGATACTCAAGCAGATGTTAGCAGATGACCAAGTGCTCCTTCACCTGCCACTGTCTGACATCTGGGAGTGGCAGGTGGGCGTGGCCTGCCGTCAGACTGGGAACCAGCGACTCAAAGCCATTCACCTGTTGCTCCGCCTGCTGCAGTGTCAGTCACAGACGTAAGAAACATATCCATGCATTCATCCCTTTTCTCTAATGCTTCTAATGCTTCTGCTAAAAACTGTAGGCTTATATTGTCATGTCTGGAACCCAAAAGTAATATGCACCATCATTCTCACTTGGGCCCCTGCTCGTAAGTAATGCTTTCTTGGCTAAGAGGACCCGGTGCACCTATTTCCCTCTCCAGAGGTTAAGGATGCATCACAGGGTTGGCATAAAGCCTTGTTAATTCCTCATGTCGTAGTAGTCGCCACGGAAATTAGATAAAGGCTGTGTGCAGGAATTTGCACATGTGTTTACAGACTCGGCTACCGGAAGCTAATTCAGAAGGGACTTAGTTTAAGCTGCAGCTGAATTATGCTGCCTGAAAAAGTTTGCGTGCACACAAGCTTGTGGGTTTTGGCTTGATTTAGTTTCATACCAATTTTAGTGCTCAAACTGAGAGGCCAAAGTGAATGGGGCTCTTCCAAAGTCACGTTGCAACTCTATATGCAAATTGTACTTCTGCACTGTGGAAACTTGAAGCCCTTATGGCACATATACTGATAATGGACTTTCAGTAAAGTACTATGCTTCTTGTGTCCAGCAGATACGGTTCTGAAAATATTAATATTTGCGTTATTATTAGAGATTCTGGATTTTAGAAAGGGGGGAAAAAAAGAAGAAGAAAAAAACATTGCAAACTATTTGCAGCAATAAAATAGCAATAGAGTACATAGTGCCTCTCTAAGCGCTATTCATGTCTGTAAATTAAATTGTTTATGATACTTGATCATACAGATAGATACAGAATGACTTTTTTATTATAATAAATAACAAATACTTTTTTTCCTCTTTTGGGGCAATCTAGAAATATGCAATCAATTTGAGCAGTACACATTTTGTTATGGCTGTTGGAAGTTACAAGATCCAAAGTCATTATAATTGTATTTGTTGTTGTTGTTGTTGTTTTTCCTGCCACAGCTTTACCTTTCCCAGAGTGCTCCTCTTTATGGTATGTGACGTACATGTGTTCTGTTTGCTCTGCAGGGCCGGTGAGCTGACGCTGCTGCGCCCTCTGTGGCAGCTGTTCATGTCCATGGAGAACACTCTGAGCCAGGACCCCACCAGCATCACCGTGCTGCTGCATCTTCACCGAGCCCTCACTGAACTCTTCTTCGTCGCAGAGGCCAGAGCCATTGTGAGTCGCACGCACGCACGCACACACACACACACACACACACACACACACACACACACATACACACGCGCGCTATGTCTTATAATATTACAAATAAATACAATAATAAAATATACTGTGTAAAGTATGATTTGAATATTCTTGTATATTATATAGAATGTTTTTTATTTAATAGAAGGCAGCAGAATACAGAGAAATCTTCAGCATTGATATACACACCTTTTCACATATCCAACCCTTTCTATGACTTTCAAAGTGCCATTTTCTACCAGATCCTGCTAAAGAAAAGTGAGAAGCAACTACAAGTGTACTCTCTGATTAGACATTCCCCTAGACAATTAAGGCCAAAATAATATCCAAGGTTATTTTGACGATCATTTATCACGATTATTCATAGTGTGAGTGACAACATGACTTTATCCCACTTTGCTACAATCATACTAATGTACAAATTAGGGCTGCAGCATGTTTCAACCCAATTTGACCCCTGGGTATTGCTTTATAATTGGAGGTGTGGTTAAACAACATGTTAGTTATTTATTTAGGTGTTGGCTTTTTTGCTGGGTTGACAGCATTATTGACGTTGTGGTGGAGAGAAACTGAACAAGGCTATGGTGAAGAAACTACTATTATAGACCTAAGAGGAACCTTCAGTGTTTTACTCTTGCTAACAGTTTGAGGCAATTTAAATGAAACGCTCAGAGGAAAAACATTTGATTCTCTACCGCTGTCTTTCTTCCACCCTCTCTGTCTTTATCCGAGCATGTTTCTCCTCCACCCACCTGTTCTGCTCTGGGCTCGGGGCCAAAGCCCAGCCCTGCCATCTGCCAGACGGCACAGTGCCACAGAGATGCCATCTATTTTGTGATGCGTACTGGCTCTCTCACTCTCGTTCTCAATTGTCTTGAATTATTGATTGAGAGATTTCTCGAGGATTATGACCCCTCCGTCAGACAGGAGTTTCCCATCTGTGCCTGCAATTGACGCAGCGTCCCAGAACTGCACTACCTTTCCCTATTCCCTTCTGCTCTGCTCACTGAGTCCTCGGGGTGCTCATCTGACAATAACATTACATCAGTTGACTTGTCTTCCAGGATGCTGGCTCCCATCTGCAGCAGGTGAATGTTGTTTCATGAGAGGGAGATGTGTTTCTTAGGACAAACACCAGGGGGCAGTAGCAGCACTCAGCAGTTTTACCTGGGGTGCCCTTCATGGTCAGTGTTGTGTTAGCAATGACACATGTTGGTGTGAGGCGAGTCTCCATCCAGCAGAGCCTGACCTGTCCTCTGTTAAAGCAACAGATGTGCGTGCTGCAGCAGTTAGTCACCCCAATCACATGGAGACACCTGGACAGAATAACAACTGCACAATTAGGAGAAGAAAAATCATAGTTTTCTTTGCAACAGTCTAATTAAAAAATATATAAGATGAGTGGTGTGATTATTAGGATCTGTACAAAACTAAGATTTGTATATGAAGTTTGTTATATACGGTTTGTAAGCCAGAAGTATTCCACAGCACCATCATACTTCATTCAGAACAATACTTTCAAATATTTGGCCTTTACCAAATATTGCACTGGTCTATATTGCAATTTTTATAACATTTCGATTTATTTAATAAAATTGCTTGTGGTAAAGAGTGTCTTGCACAGTTGTTGTTTTAAACAAATGCATTGACCCATTTACTTTTCCAATCTAAGTTTTGCCAGCTTTCTCCTGATAAACAGTCAGTTCATCTTATTACATTATTAGTCATTCAACATAATTACATATTTGGTTGTTTAAATGTAATTTACATAAGGCTCACCGCCAATAAATAGGAATATTTGGTAAGAATAATAAAACATGTTTTAAATATTTTTGTTGTTTTCAATACATTTTGACTTTTGGACTTTTCAACGCTATGGAGTTAATATTAATGTTCAGATCACACAACTCAGGAATGAACCCTTACCCTACCCTTCCACCATTGAAATATCATTCTTCAAATAGTATAACACTTACATAAGTGAGGCCTACTATTATCTGCAACTGTGCAAAAACACCAGGTCTAAACTGAATATTGATAAAAACGCATTAACAAAAGCTGTGCACAATTCAGATTTTTTTAATGTCACCCTCATGAACGTATCAACCTGGTCGTTATCGCCTTACAGGAAGGCGAAGTCGATAGGGAGTTGGCTTGGCAACTGGAAGGTCACCAGTTCAAGTCCCGGCAAGACCAAGTGCTACCGAGGTGTCCCTGAGAAAGGCACCGTTCCCTACACTGCTCCCCGGGCGCCGTTCAAAATGGCAGCACACTGCTCCTAAACACTAGGATGGGTCAAATGCAGAGAAACAATTTCCCCACGAGGGATTAATAAAAGTCCATCTTAATCTTAAGTATCAAAACAAATGGCTGTTAGATAAAGTTAAAGCCAGGGAATGAGATATTCAAACAGTCCACAACTGGATCCACTGTTCCAGGACTTCTCAACATCTGCATTTGTTCACAGATAATTTTATAACAAGACAGGACTCTAGGAATCTAGTTTGGGAAAAGTCTCCTTTCAAAATCCATCCATCCATATTGTAAAGCCATCACCAGCTGGGTCTGTGCTCTACCTACGACACAGCGCTCCGTCTGTCACCATCCGAGGATCAGTGTTCACTGCAAATGGTGGCCCTCTATGAACTTAACTGCGGTGATGACATGTAGCCGAGTTCAAAGGCTCTGCAATGACTGAGTGTACTGTAGAATCATGGGAAGCTAATGGGTGCACTGGATCCTCTATGTCCATATTAGGTCTGAGCCTGGAACTGGATTATTTTTAAAGTTGTAGTGGCCGGCGCTGTCCACATTCCGGCTTCTCATTCTTTATACGCACACAAAGTTCACAGCCAGGTCCGCTGAGATTCATTGAACCCTCTCTACCCCAGGAAGTGAAAGTTATATTTAGGATTCAAAACTTTATGTCACGCACTCCTGACTTTACAAATGGTCCTAGGATGTTCCCCTCGGCATAAACAGTCGGGGTGCTGTAGGATGGATGGTGTGACCAGGGCTCTGGACTTTGTCTCCAGCTCTGTAAAAGCTCCATTTGGCCAGTCTCAGCCCATTTAGCCGCCATGTAGCCTTATCAACTCCTCATGCTTATGTAACCAGAGGTATGTCTCTCCCCGTAGGGCTTTAGTGGAAGCGCTCTTCAGTTTGTTTATAATTTTGATTTACTGTTTCAACATACCACAGTTAAATTTGATGCTGAGATAGAGATGAAGAGTGGTCAGGGAACCAGGCCTCATTTATATCCTAATTCATCCCTTATGTAACCTCTTCAAGCAGTCTGTCTCAGGAAGTCGCTTTAATTCATGACATTATCCTATTCTGTGAGCTACATTTAAAAAAACGTGCTTTTTGTTTTTCAGGCGCAGGGGATCCTCCAGGAATATTTGTTGGCCATGACCACTGACGAGCAGCTCCTCAATCACACTGCAATGGTAAGTCTTCAAATATATATATTTTTCCAATAAGACAATATAAACCTTTATGAATCCCCATAGGGAGAATCATGTGTCATAGCAGCAATAAGAGACAAACATAAGGGACAATAAGAACAGGAAATATAATATATGTAACAGTTTAAATAAAAATAACGTGAATAATTATAAATACGGTGAATATTTATAACATCTATGTGCAAGTGCGAGTCCAAAGTACAGCTTACTTACAGTTAGAAGTTAACATAGAAGTTAATAATTGTAGGTAGATATTAGGTTTGCATCATAACCACTGATGCCATTTTTACACCTCTGCCTTTTTTAATTCAAAGCCATGCCTTCAGTCAGGCTCTCTTGGGTCGTCTTTGATGATTTCAATTTCAAATTGCTGCCTGACTTGGATGATAGTACCTCAAAGAAGTTGCCCACTCTCCCTGAAGTGTTGTAATAATATGGAAATGTCAGTCCAAAACACACAGTCCCGTTGGTCGAACAGTCTTCCGTGGCTGTGAGTCAGCTCGTGGCTGGAGTCTCTTTTTCTAGTGAATCACCAGGCTGTTGACACCCGGCAGATCCCTCCGCACCTCCCCCCCCCTCGTTTTAAATATGTGTGGGCACTCAGCACTAATGTGTTTTGTAATGACAGTGCATTAGAATGTGTGGCACAGCGCTCTCTGTGCTGGGGACCCTGCGAAACAGCAGAGGAGCCTGGAGGCAGTTAAGAGGAGAGGAGGATGCGGGGTGGTGAAAAAACACTGTGGGTGGTTCTGTTGAGCAGTTACCTAATACCTTTCAGGTTGAAAACAAAAGACTACAGTACATGCCTTGGCAGTAGGCATAACTATTATGATAACAAGTCCTAAAGAAAATTGGCTGCAGTTCGATTTCGAAAGGTTGGAAAAATGCCATCCACATCATAGCAAGCTCACTCACTTTCTCTTCAAGTTGTTTTACCACAACACAGGATGAATAGAGGATCATGTTCATTTCACTACATACATGGCTTCTATTGACTTTTCACTCAAAAACTGATAACAGGGTAGGCTCCTGTGTGTCGGGGCATCACCTAGGGAACGGTATTTTCAAGAAAAGACCTTCAAAAGTGTCAAAAGTGAAAATGCAGAGGGGAACACTATCATTTTCTCTCAGAACATACACACAACACACATTTGGTATCTTCTGCAAGAAACTGAGTGAAAAACAAATTATATTAAAACTGCCCTGTTGTGCTTTTTGGGGTTTTGCCTTTCCTGTAGTATTTGATATACGTTTTTGTTCAATTATCTGTAAAGATTGAAATCCCAAAGTGTCTGTCCCTCACACTGCCCCCCCCTGACTGAAACTCCTCCATTGCACTCCTTTGTTTACTTCTGTAACATGATGACATCACAATTTAACACCTGTGCTTCTGTTGGCTAGTGCTCCGACTTATTGTAATTGATAGGCTAAGGGGCATCTCTAAGCGGTTGATCAATCACAACACTGCCGAACAGCTGACCAATCAGAGCAGACTGGGCTCTGGTTTCAGACAGAGGGTGAAAAGAGGTGCTGCAGCAGCACAGGCAGTATGAGAGAAAAAAAATAGATTTTTGAATATTAAAGTATGGAAACATGTCACAGTAGAGGAACATAGTGTAACAAATGTACCTGAATATGAGCAGAATATGTCCTCTTTAAGTGAGACTGGGAAACAGCGGCTGTAACCTAGTACTTAAAGTTAGCAGGTGTGTCATGTAAGCCTTATGATGAAGGTGATATAAGGTGAACAGCTAAACTCTCTCAAATGACTGTGTATTGTGAAGTTAAAAAAGAGAATCGTCACCTGACTACAGTTCCCCTGTTTATTTATTTATTTTTTAATCCCACAACTCTACTTTTTGGTTCAACCTCATTTCCTGCCACAGCAGGCAGCAACATACTCTAATACAACTGCTTTAACCCACCTGCCTACCACCACCGTGCTGCTGACATAAAAAATGCTGTTTGCATTCGTGTTGTTCGACAAAAACATGAATTGTCACCAAAAACCAATCTAGCTATTCCAGTCTATCGGTAGCAGATCGGTGCCCTCTAGTTCCCACTGCTTGGTTTTTCTGTTATCATTCAGACCCCTTTTTTTTCATCATGTAGGCTCTGAAGAACATCGCTGCCATCAGCCTGGCTATCAGTTACCCCAACAAATCTACCAAGCTACTCAACGTGTCCCCCTGAGAGCTCCACCAAGAGCATGGAGGAGAACGACCTGAAGGGGACACATCCTGACACAGCAGGTCCACTTTGAACATTGGCGGAGGGGTGAGGGAGGAGACCCTCCCCGACCATCCAGTGCTTTCCTTGTAAAGGACGACCCTCCACTCCGATAACTCTCTGCAGCACTCTGGACAGGAGCTGTGGAGGGGTTCTCAAAGAGCGCTTTCCACATTTAGTCACAATCCTTTTTGCCTTAGGTGAATCCAGTATCAGCATGTGCATTCACTGAAACATGAACAATTGCGGGGTCTTTTTTTTTTTAGTTATACTTGAAGAAACTGTGCTAAAGGACATGAAGTGTGCCAAATTCGAGACCTTCAAGGGGAGGTTTATTAGTTTTTCTCCTGCCTTGGTTCCACCTTAAACAGCTGGGTTTCATAGTTGATCATGGTGAAAACAGGTCACCATGGCGACTCTCATGTCTCAGTGGACATGAAGAGCATCCTAAAAATACTGTCCAGGCCAGTGGAGTGTCATTAGTCACCATGGGGAGAAAGTGCTGACCTACTAGCTCCTTCCTCTCTATCCTTTTGTCTTTCCTTTTATCTATCCTTCCTCTCTACCCACCTTCTCTCCTTCAACGTCCCTTCTTTCCTTTTTAAAAAAACGGGAATTTTCTTTATTTAAGAGAATAATCAGACATTCTTCACAGATATTGGAAAAATAGGTCTGATATGCAACTTTCTGTCATGATAGCCAGTGTAATGTGCATTAAAATCGGCCGACCAGGATTAGGATGAGATTCAAATAGCCATAATGTTTGCATAGGATGAGAATTGACGTTAAAGCTGAGGGAAAACTGTGATAAAATAATATAGCAGTGCATTCCTTCATGTAATTGAATCAAAAGGTTGCTGTATTTTCACTAGTGAGTGAATGAAATACCATTATGATGTCAAATGATGTTCACGAAAATGAACAGCAGCAAAAATTATGTAATTTAAAAACCGGCAACTCTTTAAGGCCTTTAGTTTAACCCCTGATTTATTTATTCACTGTCATTATTTTATCTAACATAAAAAAAGGGTTTTCACACCAGTTATAGGAATAAAATCACGCTGTAGTGTCACACCATCTTGCCCCCCATACCCTGTGTATCATGATGAACACTGGTGTCGTTCAGAAACATGTATAGCTGGTGGTTGACCCCTCACATCACTTCAAAAACTCTTGTTACGAATTGACAAAACTGTAAAATATACACATTATCCCACTTATTCAAAAGCAACTCATCTCATATTTTGTAAACTGAGAATTGATTAATACTGAATTACCTCATCTTTTGTAATTACAGAGTTGTGACTCCTAAATGTTTAATGTGGCTTTCAATCACATTACACTAACACCACCTTTTATTAAGATCCACCTGTAGCCACTTCCACCAAAATAAGTCATGTACTTTCATGTTAAACAAGGCATCACGTTTTGTATGTTGACTAATCTGAACTTAAGTTTTAAAGAGAGTTGATGGGGGTGGATTTCCAATCATTGTTGTACTCATTTCAAATGAAGAAATCATTTTAGTTGTAGGGAAGCCATGGTGGTTTATACCAAAGAAACCAATCATTGTGAGCCGTGAAACATCCCGGAAAGAGCTCCATCTAGAGTTCCTTCCTTTTGTCACATATCAGAGGAAACCTTTAAACTTAGTTTTTTTTATTTTATACTTTTATTTTTGAAATGGTCCCTTGGAGGACCGTAGAATAGCTCGGTGGTTTTGTTTACACAAACATCAGCTGCAGTGAGGAGGAGATACTCTGTTGGGCTTTTACGACGCCTCACCTATCTACTACGTGCCTACGGTTAAAAATGAAGCAATCATAATTTAACTCATGTTAGCCGAATAGTTATTAATTCTATTTTAAAAGAGAGATATATTGTTTGATTTGAAGTTTTGTGTAACTTTTTACTTTTAATGTTTTATTTTTTTTCGTGAGATTGTTTTGATGTTCGAAGCTGACTAATTTGAATGTACATATCTGTGAATATTAATTGCACAGTATATAAAGACTTTGATATCAACCCCTTACAAATATAAACTTTATCGGGCACTAACAGACGGACACTTTGATTCTGATTTTGTATGCATGGCACATTGAAGGTAAAAACAACACCACGTACTGCTTGGGTTGAAAATGTGTTCCGTTTCTAATAAAAATAGAAATGACTTGAATACAACTTGTGATGTCATCTTTTCTGTGTGTAGGCTCAATAGAGAATTTCTGTGCACTGACAAAAAATGTATTGATCCCTCAGGCGGCATTGATCAGAGCCCACACACTCCCTGCAGATCCTGTTCTCCAAGATCCAACTCCAACGTCAATAGTTCTTGTTCACGCTGCTTCCAGCCTTTCCACCTCCCAGAAGTAAATCTTTTCCACTTTTATCTAAAAGTCCCAATTCTGTGATTTCTCTCCAAGCTTTCTGTTTTACCTCACAGGCACCCCCCACACACACAGTGCCGATGATCACTGGGGCGATAATGACATCAAATGGAGGAAATACTCAATAACACTCTTGATGATTCAGTGCCCCTCTGCGCCATCAGAGCCCCCACACCGGGGTGAGTCAGCTCTCCCCCTGCTGCTGCCCCCCCTCTCCCAGGATCCTCTGCTCTCATTTACCCAAGGTGAAAAAAGCAGCCGTGAAGGTGGAGAGCAAATAAGAAAATGCTAGCAGTACCTGTAATGTCACATATGAGGTGTCATGGTAAGGGTGGGTGATATTAGACATTTGGAGAGCTCAGCAGAGGCAGTAAAGACAACATCTCCCATGATCCCACAGTTCTTCATGACGCTCCCAAACTCACACCATTGCATTGACTCACCCAAAAATGCATAATATACTATGAACTAATTATAAAGTAAATTAAGGAGAGTATAACATCTAAGCACGTCATAATAAATTGCTATTTATTTGTTCTAATTTTCATAATAACAGATGTTTTGTGTTTCACATTTTAATAAAAAGTACACCTTTTCAAAAGTCTACTGAACTTCACTGAGGTTACCTGATCCAAATTTGGTTTAAACCAAAAAGGCTGGATGTGTTTTACAGTGAGTAATGACAATCAATTCTTATTAAATCAAACTATGTAATAAGATTAAATAAATACTCGTGATTCCAGCCTGTTAAAAGTCTTTATTCAGTGTTTTCACCTGTTTTAATCCTTTGTCCGTTTGTTTGAAGAGTAGGAGACATTCTTTTTGGAGAAGACGGCTCAACAACAGTGGTAAAGACAACATTTCCCATGATCCCACATTACCTTGACCCCACCAAACTCACACCATTGACTGCTGGAATATGCTTTGTGTGACCAAGAGGGCAAACAATGATGAGAGGCAACTAAACAGTAAGTAAACCCAGGGCAACACTCAAACACCTGTATGAAATAGCAGTGTTTGTTCACTGATAATGTCACTGTTTTATAACTCGGAACATATGAGCAAGAAGTGCCATGTGTTGCTGGTCTTCCAAAAGCTATGCTAGTTTTTCACAAGGACAAGTTCCAGTTCTCCAAATCTGCCTCCTATTCTTTCTCCTGTTGTGGATCTTCCCTCTCTTCCCCATATCAAGGTATCTCTCCTATCACCAGACATGCTCATTGTCCTCTGCATCACTGTTGGGGCAAACAATCGAATGCCCCATCATGTGTGGTTTCTTGTTTGGCTTGCAAATTGTGTCCTTCCCTTCCCGATGCTGCTGCCAGTGCAAAACCTCAATGCTCGGTTCTCTTGGGGTTTACTATGTCTTCGAATTGTTTTAATGTTTGAAGATACTTTTGTGTGAGTATCAACATTTGTGTGTAAAAAATGCAACAATTTAAACAGTTTAGGCACGTAGTATAGTAAACAGTGACTATAAAAAGTACTCATTCCACTCTTGGAGTCTCAAATTGATCCAAATGTAGATTATTCATGCCTTATTTTTCTCTCTTTTTCAAGAACATCGATAGGAACAGAATTCAACACTCTCTTTCTTTGTCATTTCAGCGTATTATTGGGATTTTCACTTTCTCGTGTTCTAGCTTTGTGTCACGCGTCTCCTCTGGTCGTTTTTTCGTCCCTTTTCTTGTTGTGCACCTTTGCCCTATCGGAAGCCGTAACCCTGCTCATGAAACTGCTGGAGGAAACTCCACCTCCACCTTGTCATAATGAGACCTACTTCCTCTCACCCTCCTGGGACAAGGGGCCCAGTGTGGGTCAGCTCTCGTGGGGCCTAGGGATAATTGGGTAGTTTAAATAATCCAGTGAGAATAAGACACAGAAGGCCTACACCCATATATAGCAGCTCCACACATGCTGTTGTGTGATTGCACTGGGAGAGAGAAGCTTGCAAGTTTTTGATTTCATTTCTCGCCTGTCTCCTATCTGGGTTAGAGGCGGGCTGTTATTGGAACGGCCACCTGTGGCACCGGGAGAAGGTGGACTATAATGGATAGCAAGGGTTCCAACATGAGAGCTGCGGTGCTAAACCTGTTAACTAATCCGGATCATTAGAACCGGGGCTGTATGACTAAAAGGAGATGTAATGTGCAGAGATGACAGGAGATGGACTTCACTGACGTGCCCCGAGCCAGCATCAAATGGAAGCTGACCCGGGCGGAAAACTAGTCACTAACAGGCAAATTAGCTTGAGGACAGACTGCAGAGGCCGTTTCTCAATCGCGAGGATACTGGCTTGGTAGTCGCATACTTCCAAGTCACTTCCTTCAGAAACGAAGCAAGTATACTTCCAAGCCACAGCTTCGGAAAACAAGAACAATGGAACAG